GGCCTACGAGAGACTGAACATTGGTACAGTAGAATAGTTGTTCATCCATCGCGAATATCTGTTGAAGTTTGTGCTAGTCGAGTGGTTGTGGAAAATATATTTCAAATGCATTAGTTGAGCTAGATCTCATAACTTAGAGATCTAGGATGAACAGAGCTGCCCAATCGCCAATTGTCAGCATCAGGAGCGAGTCAGTACTATTTCAGCCCACCGTTCCTCATCAGCTACTCTCGGTCTGCTGACAAGTGGGAGAACCAAACGTTTCGGGTACATCACCCATTTCGAAGTCGCCGGATAGAACATGAAGATCTAGTCATATTATCGGCATCTACTGGCATTGCTCTTAGGTAGGATCATGCTATGCGATTGCGGCAGCATTATAGAAATTCCTTTATCTTATGATAAAATTGTCGTGTTGAGACGCATTAAAAAATAATTTCATTCTTTCAAGCTGCACTATACGATAACTATGCAATGATTTCGTTCCTTCAGGGGTCTATTTTGCTAGTAGGGTATGACGCTGCGGCAGATGAGGCCTGATGGGCCGAAAGAGTACTGTCTCACTCCTGCTGACAATTGGGACAACTCTCTTCATCCTAGATCTCTTAGTTATGAAATTCATGGTTATGACATCTAGTTCAATGAACTGGTGGATCACTCCACTCAAGTAGTCAGGTAGTATCATCTGTCAGCAGAGTGGTACCACTTTGTAACGTTGTAGACGTAGGGGTCTGCATGTGTTGACTACAGATGGCAGCGTCATATACAGTGTATACAAGGTTGGAAAATTGATGATTTATTTGTGAAAAAAAATTGCCTCGTTGTGAGGGAAAGTGGTGAATGGTGACGTGATCCCATCGAAAATTCCATTTCGGAGTCATGGGAATCTATGTTCTACAACTGTCTCAAGCATATTCACCTATTCAGCTTTGATCTGAAATTATACATACATTTCCATGATCCCAACATGAAATTTTGGATGCCATTACGTCACCTTCCTCTACAAATGAATCATCAATTCTACCAACTATGCCACTAGATGACGATAACATGACTAGATCTTCATGTATTATCCTGTAAATGCATCCTTTGTATGCCGGTGTATAGCCTCCGTTTACTAGGTAGGAGATTATTGAATAAAATATTGTAAAAAATATCACCTGACGAAGCTACTGTGTCAGTGAAACATGTTGTGTGTTCAAGAATTTTGTGGAAATCTTATGGTTTGTGAAGTTTTTACATTTGCCATGGATATTCATCAAGTAACGGCCAAGTCAATTAAAAAAAAGAATAAAATATTATTGACATTCGACTCCCCTTGATATGGCGATTGAAGAATGTGGCTAATGTGAAGTAATCTTATTCAAATAATGGCGTTCCTGCAAATAAACAATGTTCAATCACCCCTCCATCATCTTGTTGATGTAATTATTTGTCATTCTATTTGGCTAGCTCATCAGCTTTCCGTTATGTATTCTGATCCATCTCTGGAACTTCACAAACTCCTTGTTTTCAAGACTTTCACCATCATCGGTAAATAATAACTAATTGAGTTATAATTTGACTCGTAGTATGCCTTTGACAGGAAATTATATTTTCTTCCGCTGAAATAACTCTTCATCCATTTACAACGGTTCACGAATATTAGAAAATCGAATCAAATTCTTGACAATATTTTGATTGCCATTTGAAACAGTCATCGAGGATCGGCAAGTATTGTTTTTGTAATGACATTAAAAGTGGCTATTATGACACTTAACAGGCATAAAAGGTGTACTTTCCCAGACAGCACTGGATATTCATAGAATATTCTCTAAATATGCTAAAAAGGAGGAGTATATTCCGAATATTCATCGATTATTCCTAGAATATATACATGCCATTGGAACATCTGAAAGGAATATTCCAAATTGAATAGTCGGATATGTTCAGGGAATATTCAGGTATGAATCTTCCAGGAATATTCCCAACTGAATATTCTCTGTTGTATATTCATGAAATATACCCAACTGAATATTCTGTGCGGTATATTCATGAAATATACCCAACTGAATATTCTATGCGGTATATTCATGAAATATTCTCAACTGAATATTCGGTGGTGAATACGAGTCACGAGTTCGATCCCTACTTGGGTCACTTTTTTTAATTTTAGAATATGTTTATTGGAATATTCCAGGAACATTCAACATAGAATATTCTTTTGAGTATATTCTATGATTATCTGAGGAATTCCCATTCGCATATTTAGAGAATATTCCACAGATATTCCGGAATATTCCAGATTATTTCTAGAATATTCCAATATTCCAAAAGGAATATGATAGGGAGATTCATGGAATATCTGGTGCTGTCTGGGTTCACTGCCTAGACAGAAAAAGTACTGCATAGGAAGAAACAGTTTGTTGCTGTGTAACGTCCCAAGAAATAATTTGAATCAAATTGGTAATTTAAATTGACAATGACTTTGGATGAACACAAAATGGTCGATTATCTGTACTATGGACTATTATTGTGATGGGATTTTATTTCGAATTCAATTCGCCTCAATTTTTTTTCTTAATATCAATTTAATCGTGATATGAGACTCATTTATTGATTTATTTATTTATCCAAATAGATCTACTGGCCTAATTACATGGATAACACAATGAAATTGAATATTTGATGTCACTGATTCAGGAAAAATATCGAAGTTCACCATACTAAGATTATGTCGATAGATAATATACCAGAAAAGTAGAGGATTCAATGGAAATGTTCAATATGGAATTCAAAATTTCATTTCTGAAAGCAGCTGGAGTTTTTGACAGCTCAAATGCATTCAGATCATCAAATTGATTGGCTAGTCGAAGCATGTCGAAGCATGCCTACAAGAGGGGATTTACTTGACTGCTTAAAAGAGATTTGAAACATAGGGGAAGAGCGAATACGACAGAAAGGTACTTTGAATGGAATTAGAGTTAAAATGTCGGGACAATCTGTCCTATAGTATTGATAATTACATACAAAAGCAACATACTTGTGAGATTTCGTTTCTGATCGAGATATTTTATTCTGAAATGGAATCTGAGTTCAGTAGTCATCCTAACTGTCAAATAATCAGCCCAAACATGGTATTCCTTAAAATACAAGAATCTAAGTAACATATTTCGCACCTTTTGAATTCTTTTTGATGCGTTTTGAGTTTCACTCGGAAGTCTGTCTCACAATATATCCCAAGATACGATTCGCAGATTTAACAATATTATCCAGATGGTTAGTGGAAGGAAAAACATCATTGTGAGTTACAACAAGAGCAAGTGTTTCTGTCTTTCGTTCTAGAAGTTCCTGGTTCATTTCATACCTAGATACGACTGGATCTTTCAACTATAGTTATAGTTAGCACATCACATTTATTTATGTTGAAAAATAGTTTATTTTCATTATTCTATTTATGGATATTGTCTACGTCTTTTTGCAGAGCAATAAAATCCCTTACTGTCTGGGAATTCTTAGGTCGTAAGCAATAAGAAGACAATCTGAATTAACCAGGACGGCCGACAGGTCGTTAATGAATAGTGTAAACAGCAACGGTCCCAGATTAGATCCCTGCGGTACTCCTGAATCAGCCCTAAACTTGCCGGACGAATTGCAGTTATATTTGACGAAGAAATATCTATTTCCTGAATAACTTTTCATCAATTCCAGAATATTCGGTGCTCGCCCATATTTACTCAATTTATCCAACAATACATCGTGGTTCTCTAACTGACAGAATAATGTGTTATTATGTGGTCTTCATTACTGCATGAAAAGCATTCATTTCCTATCGAGTATGGAGTTTGCAGCAATAATCCGCACACGGAAAAAAAGGATTTGTTGCATCAACAAATTATTTATTCATCGAGAATGTAGTTCAATTCAACAGTATAATATCAATTTCATCAAAAAAATATATGGTTATGTCAAAAACAATTTATATCCATCCAAAATATTGTTGATGTTGATTCAACTGTAAACATTTTGTTGATTTGATCAAATTATTATCATTTTGATAAGAATATTATCTTCCCCATTCCGATGTAGTAATGAACTCGTTTCGAACGGATCATTTGCTTGAATTGAGCAACGAAACATGTAATATAAATGAAATATATCGTTCATTCTACATCAAGTTTAATTTCCGCCTCTAGATCGCGATCTTTTCGCCTCGTCTATTCCTGCCTCGAATTCATTATATACGTGAAGACTGATTCTTCGTGATTGAAATATCAACTGGATGAATCGAACTCAGGATGATTATATGATTATAGCAAGCCGAAATAGTTCCGCATCAGCTGAAGAGGAGTAAAGACTGGAGATCTATGCTAGAAGTCGACTAGTTTCCTAGTTTAGTTTGTTCTATTGATGTGAAGTTTCAGAAAAATTCCCGAGTCAATACTGAATTTGGTTCAACAAAACAATTTGTTGAATGGAAATACAGTTTCTATTGAATCAGCAAAATATTTCATTGAATCAACCAAATATTTCATTGAATCAACCAAATAAGTCATTGAATCAACCAAATATTACTTTGAATCAACCAAATATTTCATTGAATTAACTAACTATCTGATTGACTCAATATCTTGTTATTTTGAATGAAACAAAATGATTATTCGAGCCAATTCAATATCTCTTCATAAACAATTCATGAATGTGCTTGATTGAATGTGATCCAGAGTTCATGCAAGCCATATTTACTTGATTCAAACTCCAAATTCGCTCTGGAACAAGATATAGATTTACTCGTTTCTAGATTATATTTTGTCGTGCACATATAACACCTATATTTTCTTCATTCAATTGAATTTCGCTTGATTCAACAATTCTTCTTTTTCCATGAGTTATTTTTTTCGTATGAACAGTTCTCGTAGCCATTGCTAAAGCGGTGTTGCCACAAAAGCGGTTTGTAGTTTCGAAGGATAGTTGAACCTCATCTCGCCGAGTCTTTTCAACCATTCAATTTCATATTTCAGGCGGGTGCATATAACACGAGCAACATTGGACCAGCTTGGAGATCGTTTCGAAGTCGAACCACGAGATGGAACTAACAAAGAAGGATATTTGGCAGATCACAAGGTCGAAACGTTCCTGATCATTCCACCCAAGGTGAGTACACGTGATTTAGGGACAGTTAACTTTTCACTTTTCCGGAAAGTGATAAGTAGGTATTTTTTACGACCATTCAAAGGATTAGTATGCCATTGAAGTTGAAGGTATTTTAAACTGAACTAAAATCGATTTGACCCTTATTAGTGTGTCAAGCATTTTTCTGTAGATACCTATTCATACTTAGATGTTGATTTGGAGAAAGTACCATTGCCTCATTGAAATTTTGAAGAAAGTCATTTCAAATACTACTGATTATGTCGATGAATGAAAATTTTCGCATGTTTCATCAGAAACGAATCGCAGTCCTTTGTTTATTCGCCATTTTATTAGGCTGCTTGACGTAAATTCGAATGATTACGTCACAGTGTCGTCATGTTGATTTCAAAAAATTCCATTTTGTGATTATGTCGATGGAGAGATAATTTTTTGCTCTATTAAATGACGTGAAAATATCTACAGGGTTTCATTCGATATTCTCGACTGGACGTTTCGGGAACGAATCTGCTCCAGTTTTCAACATAAAAAATGGATTTTTGTATGGCAAATTCGTATTCATCTTGACACTTCTCAGTTCTCAGTGTCCAATGATAAGTGAACATTTGATATTTTTTCTCTTCTCCAAACCTTCTTCAATACAAATTGTCACTGACAAGCTAGTGCATTTTATCTTTAGGCTCTCTGATAGGAGAATTCTCTAAAAGCAGTATCATTTTGAGGCAAATCATCTGATTTGATATTGTATATCGGAATAATATTCATATTTGAATTTCATAGAGACGAGGAGAAAAAAATCCCAAAAAATCTGAAATAATGCATAAATCAAATTATCAAGCTAGCTTCTATTCAGAAATGAAAACTAAATTTACGAAAACCTATTATTTGCCCGAATTCATATTATTTGTAACATAACTCCTTCTACCACTTGCTCCTCCAATTATGAGTGGCCTAGCTATAAGAATGCTTTTTCACCTGAAGTTATTTACTGTTTCAGCAGTTCCGCTGATTGCCGACAAAATTGTGAATCGAGCATCACGTGATTGCTTCATCAAGCGTTATGTATTTCATTCCTGGAACAATTTGATTCATTATATTTGCTATACAGGGTGTTCCATAAGTCATGGATCAGAAGAAGTGGGGTGGTAGAGGAGGGGTCATTTCCAATCAAACTAACCGTATATGTGGTTCAAAGGAAAAAACACAAACACCAAGTATATGTGGTTATCTAATTGATGATGGTTCAGAAGTTATTCATTTCTATAAAAATAATTAATTACAGTGAAACTATGTCACATTTGTGACTTTCCCTTTCAAAAATTTCACCCACATGGATGCACCTTTCACCAGAAATAATTTTATGGCATGTATTACTTCCAATCAATCGGTATCGGTATTGGTAGGTTGGATAGTGACAGATGCGCTGCGACCTAATTAGATCTATTGTGCCTATCTGCTTATGCTATATCAATGATTTCTTGTCCATACCAGCCTCTTAAGATTCAACTCCTTCAGGAATTTGAGGATTTTGAAGGGATCTAGTTGTGGTATTTCTTCCACAGTCAGCTGAGGTGTTTCCAGTATGTTCAATCTTTTGTGATGTACAGCGTCACACTCCATCAGTATGTGATGGGATGTTTCTGGTTCTTCCTCACAGAGTCTACAGGTGCCGTCCTCCTGTAAGCCTAGCTTCCTCAGGTGTTCTTTGAGTCTGCAATGCCCCGTTAGAAATCCCGTTATTGCTTTGAGACTTCCTTTGCTGAGGTTTGTTAGTGTCTTAGATCTTTCTCGGTTGAAATTTCCGAGGAGATCTTTAGCCTGCCGCAGTCCTGGAAGTCTTCTCCATTGTCTGGCTCTCAAGGCTCCTTCCGCCTTCTCAAGTTCTCCTTGGAAATAGGAATTTCCAAGGCCGCAGAATGGCTCTGGTCCGATCAGTGGTGTTGAAGCCCCTTGTCGTGCCAGAGTGTCTGCTTGTTCATTCCCCTCCACTCCGATATGTCCTGGCACCCAGAGGAGGATCACTTTATTGTTACTGCCTAGCTCATTCAATTTGCTTAGGCATCTCCATACCATCTTTGAGTTGATGTTAGAAGAGCTCAACGCCTTAATGGCTGCTTGGCTATCGGATAAAATCGCGATATCCTTCTTCCGGTATTTCCTGTCTAGGTTGAACTAGAAACATCTTTCTATGGCGTGTATTTCCGCTTGAAAAGTGCTGAAAAATCATCCAATGGAATCGAAGTATTTGGTGCGAGGCCCAAAGACTCCTGCTCCAGTTCCCTCAGGTGTTTTAGACCCGTCCGTATACCAAGTAATGGTGGTCCAGCGCTTCGATGGATTCTATTCTTCATTCACGCTTGTTGCTCAGTTTCACTCGGAAGTTCTTCCCAAAACTGAACTTCCTATTGATTTGGTCAGTTGGAAGATCGGCTAGGTGTGCAATCTTATCAATTACCTGTGAACAATTTTGTTTTCCCTGAGTTTTGTCATCGAATGAAATATTTGAGTCGATTTTCAGATGCCGCTAGCAGATTTAAAAACTACCCCACGAAGATCATAAGAAATAGTTACCTACCCATACAGATTTCGAAATGGTATAACATATGGGGTTATTCAAAACAGCCTTTTTATTATCAATTTTTTTTAAGTAGGTCGCATTTTTCAGAAAAATTGAATTACTTTCGAACCATCAAGGATTTGGAAACAACATATACCGTTAGTTTAATTGCAAATGACCCCCCTCCTACCACCCCACTTCAATTGATCCATTACTTATGGAACACCCTGTATAGATTTTATTTCGATTTTGGTGGAAGAATGTATGTCACTTCGAAAGTTCGTGTTTGTATCTCAGAGGGACATACAGAGTGTTATTCAGATCTCTGGCTAAACTCCAAGGGGTGATTATATTGGGTCATTCTAAGACGAAGAGGTTAGATAAACATAGGTCCTGAAATGCTTCGGTTTCAAGATACAGGTTGTCAAAGTTTCAATAAATAATCGTTTTGTTTCTTAATCATTCAAAATTTTTCGAGTCAATTGAACATGGTGATTTTGTTGCAGTATCATGAAGCTTCTTTTGGTGTGATTAGATTCGAAATAACGATTTCAGTGGCGTTGAAGTGGGTTATGTTTTCGATATTCATGGTAAATAAGTCATAGTTTTTTTCCAAGTTCGATATTAAGATTGAACAATTGAAAATTCAAATCGCTGCTCCCCAATTGAATTTTTATTTTTATATCACTTAGTTTCAGAAGAAATAATGGAACATTGATTTGTCTCCAAATTTCAATATAGGTACTCACAAATCATCTATTGGAAATACCCAATAACCTGAATACGAATCGTTTAAGGACCTATGTTTATATGAACATTTCACCATGGAATCACCCAAATAATCGCCCATACTCAAAATACATAGAAGTGAGTGATGATTTTTGTCGGTTACTCGACCAAAAAGATACATAATATATATAATAATGAAGATGATGAGAAAACCTGATTTTGGGTGACAACGGAGAATAAAAAAACTCCACCGCCGCGCGTGAGAGTCGAACTCACAACCTCTGGGTTACACGCACATCGCTCTGCCAATTGAGCTAATGGGACATACGTTGCCGATAGCACAGACGAAGGTCGAAAAAAACCAATAGGAGTTTGCTGGTATCAAGGCTGAATACGATAATCGATTAATAATGGATTTATGTCACTTTATGGACGCACTGTATGACTTTGAAAAAAATCATGTGAGTTTCAATATCAAATATTATGTATGCAAGGGTGTTCGTGAAGGTATTTGGATCGATTAATAATGGATTTGTGTCACTTTAAGGACGCACTGTATGGCTTTGAAAAAAATCATGTAAGCTTCATTATCAAATATTACGTATGCAAGGTTTTTGGGCTTTGAAAAAATCATAACTGTTCAAGCTCGTTCAACATACTCCAAATATAATAATAATTTCACATTCATATATTCGCCTTGAGAATACCAGACATTTTTCATTAACAGATGAAAGACAATTAAACTAAGTTCATCTTTTCTCTCCGATTGTCCTTAACTATGAATGTCTATAAATCAGTAGCGGCGTTAGGGTAGGGCGCGGTTGGGCGACCGCCCAGGGCGCCGGATGAAAAGGGGCGCCGCAAAACCCTCAAATTTCTCAAATCAACGTCATTAGCGCATCTCACAATCAACAGATATAGATCTCAGTAAATGCACAGAAATGTTGAAAGAATGCTGCACTTTCTCGTTAGAATATAGAAATTCTAACTCTGAAATCGCTATTTTAACTGCAGAGGAATTGGCTGAAGAACTAGAAATTGAACCTAAGCTTGGACCTAATCTTAGTGCCACATGGATAATTCAATATGTTGAGCGTCAAGCTGGTGAAACTCCCGCCACGTGCCAATAGCTTCTACAGAAAAAAATCAGGTTTAATTTTTCATTCATTTCAGAATGATGAAAGTATGATATGGTGCGCGTATTCAGCCATTATTACTCATTGAAAATTTCAGAAAAATCACTCGACCGCCTACTATGATTTCTCTACGTCACAACGAGCGAGACGTTGATTCTACATTTTCCTGCTAGATGGTGATGGTGCTATTGCTGCTGTGACGAGTGGAAATGAAATAGCAAATGGGATTATTCAACTCTGAATTCGAAAAATCTGCGACAATTTCAAAACTGACCGATTTCACAATTGTGCAATATCGCCATCTATTAGAAGATCGACGGAACCGAAATGCTCTCGCTGTTCTCGAGAGGCCGAGTCAAATTTCTGAAACAAAAGCGCATCAGTAGTTACACCATATCTTAATTCCATCATTCATTTCAGTTAAAAGGTATATGTGGTGTGATAAACTCACCTAATCAGAATTTGGTTACCCCTGCATATGTTTTGAATTTTATAAAAGATCGCAACTAAAAAGAACTTTATCAAAATGTATGATTATAGCATTGCGAATATTATTGACTTTATATACCTGTAATGGTTGCTAGTTTTCAGTTTTCCTGAGCCTAATGTGATAAAAACCTATCTGCGATCGACAATATCTCAATCTAGATAGACAAACTTGACAACTTTGTCAATTGAAAATAAAATTGCTGAAAATATTGACGTTGTTGATCTAATGAAAGAGTTTGCCAATACGAAGGCTAGAAAAGTGAAATATATTAGTTTTTAGGGGGCGCTGTAGAATTCTTGCCCAGGGCGCTGGTAAAATGTTCATCAAATACCTAAAAGAGGAGTACGGGGTTATTCATTTGAAAATATTACTCCACTAAGCTGCATCATCAGCAAACATTATTTGTTACTAGTAAGTACCACAATAAGAAAGACAAAAAGCTACATCAGACAAGCGTTTTGTCTTTCCTATTGCAGTACTTCCTGTAACAAATAATTTTTACTGATGATGAAGCTTTGAAGCTTCGAAACATGTCCCAATCCCAATTTTGAATAGGGGGTATAGCTCTGTTGGAGTTCACTGCAACATTTTCTTCCTGCCTTATTATTTTCACTTCACTGCAAGATAGATCGACTCAGATAAATACATGCAATTGACGATTTCTGAAATTCAGATGATTATTCTGAAATACAATATTGATGATGCTTTTGAAATACAGATGACAATTGATACTCTCTTTCTAAAATACAAGTGACCATTCTGGAATAAAATTAACACTTTCTGGAATTAAATTGACGCTTTATGAAATACATCTGTATGGAAGGTGCAGTGGTATAACATAATATTTAAAAAAAAAATCGAAAAATCATGTGATTTCTTATTTTTTCGTAGAAGGACGAGGTCCCGAACGGCACCAGCGATTCCCGAGGCCAGCAGAACGGCGGCGGCGAACGAAGCCGCGGCGTCGGACAAGGCGTCGCGACGGCCACGCCGGGCGTCCCGACGCGCTCGCGGCCCTCCGGCAAGATGACCAAGTACGTGGAGTGCTGGGGGGCTGACAAGCCCTTCGCCAACATTGCCGAGTCCACCCTGGCCAAGAACATCGAACTCACGGTAAGAACACCTCGGAATACTTACACGGAAAAAAAGTTTCCAAATAAGCGACTTATTCAAAGAGACAAGATATTTTGATTGAAATATTCGCTTACTTGAACAAAATTTTCATTTCATCAACAACATTTATAGTTGGCATAAAACGAATGTTGTTGATCCAACTATCAATGCATCTTGTTGATTTGACAAAATTAGATTAATTTTGACACAAGATTCAACGAAGTACATCATATTTTGTTGTTTCAACAATCATTTCATTAAATACTGTCTGTAGGTTAATCGATGAGGTGGTACATTCATTATTTCAGATTTTTTGGGATTTTCTCTCGTTCCTATAAAATAAGTATATGAATAATATTTCAATATACGTGTAGCAAGGACAAATCAGATGATTTGCCCAAAAATGTCACTGCGTTTAAAGAATTTTCCTATCAGAGAGCCTGAAAGAAAAATTCACTAGCTGGTCAGTGACAATTTGTATTGAGAAAGATTTGGAGAAGAGAAATAAAGGTATAGAAAAATAACTAATTTTCACTTAGCCTTGGAGCAGATCCGTTCCCGAAACGATTTTGTTGAATTTACCAAATTTTTGTTGTTTCAAACAATATTTTTTTAACATCGTGAAAATCTCAAACACAAGTGAATGAAGTGCCGAATGGTGCAGATAACTCTGCCAATATCAATCAAGGAACATTATACCATTTATATATGTGTGATGAGGGAAAACAATTAATATTGCAACATTTATTTTTACAGTCCACATCATACCCACAGGTCAGTTAGTGAAAGAGATAACGGGTGTTTTCTGGATTTTGTGTGCCATCTAACAATAGCAATATTCTTTTTACCTTGTTACATTCTCACTACTGAGAACAATTGAGTTAGAAGGAGGTGATACGGATCTGAGTTGTCGATTGAGTAAAAAGAACACGTTTTTATCTGTCAGGAAGGGCAAGGAAAGAAAACTTAACCCAACATAATTCAACCAAGATGTGAAATGGCTAAGGAAATTAATGAGGAGCATAGAAATATTATTTTAGTGAGTATCCAAAAGAATTAACCCGGGGACTGGGACTTCAAAGCTGAAAGCATGTCGAAATGGAAATATAACCTCACAATTCTCAGCACAGAACCACAAAATTACTAGAATTGATCTAGTCTCACCTTTTTCTCACTACAGCATCAGTTGGGGTGAGGGTAAAGAAATAGTCTCAATAAGTTCTTAAGACAACTCACATCAGACTTAGATAAATGAAACATGTAAGCTATTGAGCTGCACTGAGAATCTTGGTTAATCTCAGTCAAAGCTGGTAAAAAGAATATTACTATAGGGATTTTAGCTAGAGTGGAATTTAACCGAATTTATATTAAAGGCCTATTCGCTGCTTCTACATGATGCTACAACATCTACAGTTCCTGTAGAAAACTCGACGTCCTGAGCATGTCCTGAGACACAGAACGTCTCAATTTCTACAATGAGTGTAGAGTGTTGTAGATATCGTAGCGTTTTGTGAGAACACCGAACAAACCTTAAGTGACTCATTTATAATAGCCCAATATCTGATGGTAAAAATGTTCGAGTCAGGATCTGAATCATCAATTACTTGGACATTTTTACCAGATATCGGGCAACTATCAACGAGTAACTTGGGCATATTAACTGGAAATCATGCAAAAGTGACTTGGTCACTTTTGGCAGTATGCCCAATTACGGTTTTTGCTGCTGGTTTCGTTCTAATGTTTTTCATGTGTTTTCAGTGTTGATGTGGTTTTGTTGGCCCACTATGACAATCTGATTGATCACTCTCCTCTTTGAATCATGATTGATGGAGTATACAACTAAACATATTCCCAACAGACGACTAATGGATTTTCGAGCAATAAAAGATTATCATCACGAAAATAATATAACTAAATAGTGTCAAACTCGTTATTGATGTGATAGGTATTGATTAAACGTGATTCAGTTTCATGTTTCTATGTTGATGTAAATCAAGAAGCCGTCAATTCAGGATATCTATAATGCTTTTCATCATATAGGGTGTGGAAATAAATTCTGAATTGACATATAGCCAGGAAAGCAGTTGTTTTCAGGTGATAGTCCTCCTGATTTCATAATCACTGAGATAGGGACATACGGTCTTTGAGTGTTCTGTACTCGAGATACAGGGTGTGGAAGTTGACAAATGAAAATAGTTTTTTCACAATAACTCTTGAAATATGGGATATTTTTAATTCAAATTCGTCCATCCATATTTTCATTACGTAGGTAACTGATGTTGAAACATTTCATCTCTAGTTATGTGATATTTCACTTTACGTAACTAGTTGCGAAATGAAAGACGTTTCAACTTCCGTCAGTTTTAAAAATTGTCAAATTACAAGTTAAAATCAGAAAAATTATCTTTTCCTGTGATTAGGAGGAGGGTTGACAAATTACGTGCCTTTCGTCTACCAACTCGATGTCTTCCTGCAATAAGATCGTTTGAAATCTAATAATATGTATGATATTTTGTTTACAGACCCTTGGAATGATAGAATCCAATCTGCTTCCGGACCGCAGTACGTGCTTGGAGTGCAAGTGAGTTAATTTTCCATTTTCCTATCATTATCCGGCGTTTCAGCTCAGTTTATCTGCAAGGCAAGTTTTCGCCTTCATTTGGGCATCAGGGTCGGCGCCAGGAGAAAAAATAAAGGGGCACAATAATGTATTAATTTCATTCATTTATTCATTTATTTGTGGATCATCCAAACAGATGAACCTCGTTGGTTCATCCTTTTAGGAAGATACATAGTAACATGTGAACTTATAATGATGGTGTTAGTAGATGACCTATGAGGATTCTGAGACATATATGTATGTTTCGTATGAAGGTCGAGTCAGATGTAAATAGAAGCTATATTTAGGTGGAGGTCGTTTGGTTAGCGAATTGAAGAAGGCATATTGCTAGTGGGGCTTGACAACAGGTTCGTCTTGAAAGTTTCGTCATGAAACAATTTGTAGCAGAATACTGAAAATGGAAATTCTTGCATATACGCGTTTCTGGGATTTGGATCTAGATAAAATAGTTTCAAAGAACTAGATCTCCTCACTGACAGATCACTTGGTCGCTAGATTCAATTGATTTCGAGTATTATTCCGGTAATATGATAATTATTATGATCATGTGTACAGGTTGTGTCAAGATTTAGTATTGAGATTCCAGAAGCTTATTTTTCAGGCCTAAATGAGACTTATTCTTTCTATAGATATGTGCCCGCTTCGTAACCTATCTACAGAACGTTTAAATTTCGATCTCATTTGATTTTTCAGCACCTTTTATTAACAATCAAGGTTTGTTTGGTTTCTTATTCTTTAGGTAATGTTTGGGAACAGATCACGAACTAAATATGTAGCTTTTGTGTTCTCATTGTGATAATAGGTTCCTCCTATTGATGGAAATTACGATTAAATCTAGCGAATTGAAGCAAATGCGTAAAAATTACAGGAGACAAAAAAATTTATGAACAGAACAAATAACTCATTTCATTTCTCAAAATCTTCCACTGGCGCAACGCGTGAAAGTTATATGAAAGAACTCGACATACTCTCGAGAACTAAAAGACCTATGAAGAAAAGAAGAAAAACTCTCGAGAGAAGCGTTCGCGGACACATGTTCATAAAAAAGTCTAATTTTGATCTGAAATAAAAGGCCCTGGAATCTTGATACTGAATTTAGAAACACCCTGTATAATATCATATGTAGACAGAATGGTTCATCTGTGGTATCCCTCTGCTTTGTCAAACGACTCAAGGAGTTGCACATTATGTGACAGCGATATCTGAATTCCGATGTATTGTTATTTTCACAGAGAATGATCTCTCAGTATATCAAAATATTCAAAACACGAAATGTTTAACACAATATTCTCCACAAAATAATATTCAGTAGTAAGACCAAATTGTTCATCTCATTCGACTAACTCAAATGTATCCACCTTGATATTCGTTAGCTGAGCCAGCCCTGAACTCTACGTGATTTTGGTTGAACAGGAGATATTCTAGGAGATTATCGTGCCCCTTGATATTTGTTCAGTGGAATCTTGATTATCTACTAGGTCAAGGACGAACTCGAGGACGAAGCCATTGGATCAAGACAATATTTTTGCGCTACCAGCATCAGTACATGTCATAATAGTTTGGCCGGGGAAGACAAATATTTTGCAACGTTTTTTAAGTGTTTGGTACTCTCATGTACTGATTTTTATAGATTTTTCAGATTCATATATAGAAAAAATATCAAATTTTCACTTATCTTTGGACGTTCAGGAACAAATCTGCTCCCGTTTTTAACATGAAAAATGGATTTTTTGTATGGCAAATTCGAATTTGCCAGATTCCTTCCTTCCTCTTCTGGTTGTTATCTTCTTGTGCAATGATTTTAATATTATTCCACTCTGCCATAATTTGTCCTTCTTCAGTAAGGATATATTCAGCTAGTTTCGATTTGTCGATGTGTCTTTTCTTCACATTGTATTTATGTTCCTTCGCCCTTACTGAAAGAGGTCTATTGGTTTCACCTGTATAAAACTTTCCACAAACACAAGGTATACTATAAATACAATCTTTTGACGATTGTTCTACAATAATTTGCCATACAAAGTGTTGTTTTTGAAATAAAAGAAGTTTTCTGGTTTTCCTTAAATCGGACCTGACTTCACTCAGAGAAATAGTCGGTAGTGAATACCAAACGTTTAGTAGAATAGGCGTCAGTCACTACATTCATCAAATAATACCACTACAAAGTTGTACTATACTGAACTATGAGTATTATACTATTTGGTAGTGATAATATTTGATATAGTATAGTATTATATAATGTTGTAGTGGTATCATTTGATGAAAGTTGTGACTGGCGCCTATTTTACTAAACTTTTGGTAATAACTACCATCTTTTTTCTCAGTGTTCTCATCTCGGGTTTTATTCAGTTTTGATGTGTAATATAAGTGGAATATTCCCATCAAGTATAAATAGATCAAACAAAGTGGATCAAAAATGATGACCAGATGTAGATTTTGCCAAAATCAAGATAACGTCCTGTATCTCAATTATAAAAGATGGTAGACACATCAATGGAGGTGATTTGAAACCATCATACTGTCCTCTATCTACGAGTATCATATGTACATTCAAGTCTGAAACACCCTGTATGCTTACTATTCATCACTGTTCAAGTGTCAAAAGATGTGTGGATTCTTGAATCGCATTGAACTGCTCATATGTGTTAAATCGACCCGTCACCACCATAGCCAATAAACATAATTTTCATCTTCACTGATTTTCTATATCATGCCAGGTTTCATTTCTATCAATGTATACCACTATATAGGGTATTCCAGAACAACATAATACGCGCTTGTTGGGACGCTTCAATGAGTTTTGTTACGTAGTAGACACCTCTTTCAATCCAGATGTGCAATTATAATATAATTTTTTTTCACACTTTTTCCACAATTATGGTGGAATGATCTTCTGAATATTCACTACCTTTGTTATATTATGGGTCATAATATAATGAACACGAGCACAAATGACATGGACAAGGGTTACACTTGCTCACAACTCGGCTGCCTGCCGAATACTATATGAACCAGTCTCCACACACGTATGTCATAGGCTCTGATATAAGCACATTCCACTGAGCAGTAGCTCATCTAGTTGCTAGATGCTAGCAGCCTTCAAAAAATAAGTTCTCTAAGAAATCACAAGATTTACAGCAAGGCAAGTACTGTGTTTGCTAAATTCACAATCGATCATTCAACCAATCAAATACGAGCATTATTCAGATTCAATCCACGCAAAAAGTAGGCGACTTCAATGGACATCCCTGTTGAATTCAGCAACATGGTGAAGCTGATGGACCATAAACAAAATACAATGTATAGACCACTAACTAGATAGAATAACCTTGAACAGTATTATCAGTTCAGCCACCGAAACAATAGATTACATAAACAAGCACATTCGTTTCAAAATGAAGTTCATATTTTGTTTGGCGAATGAAATTTGACAAGTTTTCTTTGTTGTGATTTTTTCCCGTTCACAGGTATCATTTATCACCAATTAGTTGATTTTCCAGTGAAGAGTGAAGAAGTAAATCAACAATAGTTGATTTTTAATTCGAGCATAGTGAGGTTTAGGACTAGACAAGTGTGCATTGCCAACATCGTTTTCAAAATTTTAAGAAATACTACCCAGGTTTCTGTAGTGCATAAATTGTTTGAAGGTCCTGTAATACTAGTTAAGGTTTATATTATCTTGATTATAATATACAGGTGATTACAGTTTGTATGACCTAAATAAAAAATGATGCATTTTAATCATTTGATCTCATCTACTGACCATTTACATTCCACAGTGGCTCTAAACGTTTGGAAGAAATGAAGAAATGAAATACTTATGATATTTCATCTCCTTCAATATTTACAAAAAGCTTTTTTTAAGTGGAATATTGGAATATGGATTATTCAAAACTCCCGCTATTCGAATAGACTTACTAAACACCAGATGCGCTGGCCAACATGAACCAAGATGAAATTGATGTCACCAAATTGATGTTTCTGTGTTCCAGAAAATGGTGGAGAAGCGAAGAACTACATCCTGCTCTGCTGTGGTTCCAAAATGGTAAACAGGAACAAGAATATCGCGATCAACCCGATCCAGAATTCAGACGATATATTGCATGCGCCTCCTGTATATTCCTAGCGATGGCTCTGATGCAAGTCGCCACTATTCCCAGGTCAGTTTTCATGGTATATGAAGCGGCAGAATTTTCAAAATATTCGTGTTTCCGGAAATATTCTAAGAACTCTAGAATAAGATATTTAGTTCTTATCGTGTCTTGGAGATTTTTCATCCCGATTTTCAGGGCTTTGGAATGAAAATCCGGAAAAACGCTCAGACCACCCACATAATTCCCCCGACAAAAGGGAACACAACACTTGAAAGGCATTTATTTCGCCTATCACAACACAAAATATTTGACGAAATAGTAATTTTTTCGCCAATTATTTTGATGAATAAACAACAAAAGAATTCGAACATACCTAAACAAACTGACGACAGTCGACACGCGAACTATGGAACGTATGGCCTCAGTTAGCTGACGTCACGAGCTGTTCACTACGAGCCTTCAGGCCTTGTTAGTATAGGGAGTAACGCTCGGACCCGTCGAATTTGGTTTCGAAATCGGGAGAGACTTGTCTGATTTCTTCTTCCCCGTAACTTCTCTCGAAATCTACCATTGTTGTTCATTTTATGAACATTTTGTGGAAGTGTTTTAAAAACCCAAAAATGATCGACCAAATTCGTGCAAAAGAGGGTTGTAACAACGTTGTGATAAGGTTGCCACGCGACTTATGTTTGGTTGCGCAACTTCTTCAAACACGTCGCCGTAACGTTAAATTGCTACTTGGGATAATCACGAAAGATACAGGAGGGGTGCTTCCATTAGAAATGAGACACTGTTTGACACTTCTTCTCGTTATTCTTTCAGGAGCATCCTGCTATATGGCACCCTAGCACCCACTCTGGTGGTCCTGCTGATTTTCGTGTACTTGTGCTGGTTGGACGGCTGCTGCGGCCCTCGCCCTCCCTCAGACACCCCCTGCGACGATCCGGGGGTTTGTTCGCCCCCTGGCCAGATCGTGGCGGACAGCAGGGGCTTGAGGCTGGCGATTTTCCTGGTGTCTGTCGCTCTCGTCTCCGCATGCGCAGTCGTCAGCTTGGTGAGTGACTACATTTTATTTAATTTTTTTTTTCGTATGGAAAAAAGGTATTAAGCAAGGAGACAGCCTCAGCCCATTATTATTTATTATAGTTATGAATGAATTGATGGCAAGAGCTAGGAGAAGAACAAAACAGCTCCACGCAGGGTATAACATGAAGCTGTAGTCATGTTGTAGCCATCTTGTGGCAAAGCTCTGAGGTAGGATACAGAGATATCGCAACATACACTGTATGGCGCTGCCATCTATTATAGTCACACGTACAGACCCCTACGTCCATACGCTACAGAGTGGTACTACAAGAAAATCACTCTGCTGACAGACCTGACATACTTGGGTGGAATTTTTCCACCACCTATTCAACTGCTAAATCTCATAACTAAGAGATCTAGGATGAACAGAGTTGCCCCAATTGTCAGCAGGAGCGAGACAGTACTGTTTCGACCCACCAGGTCTCATCAGCCGCTCTCGGTCTGCTGACAACTGGGACAACTCTACGCTTCGGGTATATCACCCAAAACAGCTTCAGACAGTATAGGATATCACAGACTACAGCCGGTTAAAATGGAAATTTCAATGTATGCAGACGATATTGTATTGATGGCTGATACTGAAAAACAAATGCAAGGACTAATTGATATATGGCCAGAACAAATAGAATTGAAAATGGAAATCAACACGAAAAAGTGGAAGATGATGGAAATGAATAAAAAAGATTATAACAACACAAGTAGGTATATTATGCAAAGAAACAGAACTGGAAGTAGTAACAACATATGAATACCTAGGAAGTATTATCACGGGTGATGAAAAAATAAAACTGGAATTAGCCAATAGAGCAAGGAAATCAAACAAGATATATTATTCATTGAATAAGATATTGGGAAAAAGAGAATTAACGCAAGAAACTAAACTAAAAGTATATAATACAATTGTTATACCAACCGTGTACTATACGCTAATGAGAGTTGGACTATACAAAAAAAAAACACGAGAGTAGAATAAATGCAATGGAGATGAGATACTTAGATAAGATTTAGAATGGGGCCTTCGGGCTATCTGCCTCCACACTGCGACCTTTCCAAATCTATTGTGTCTGCTCTCAAAATCGATTAGAGCTCTTCTGCTAGCCCCGCCTTCTCTATGAGGCCAGCTTTCAGGTCCCCTGTATATCTTTGGGCTTCTGGTTTTTCCTCACCCAGCGCAAGGAACCTTATTCTTGATAAGCCCTCACAGTGGCAAAGTATGTGTACTGCTGTTTCCTCTTCTTCCTGACAGAACCTGCACAGCAGTTCTTCAGTCAGACCTATCGTACTCATGTGTTTGTTGAGCCTACAATGCCCTGTGAGAAATCCCACTAGTATTCTAGTTGAACTTCGTTTCTGGCTCAGTAGATATTCTGTGAATGTTGGCGATGGTTTTTACATAAACTCTTTTGCCTGTCTCATACCTGGCGAGTTGTTCCACCATTCTTGAGATTTGGTTTGCATCCATGATTTGATACTAGTCTTTTGTATAGCTTTCGCAATACCACAGAAGGGTTCTGGGCCATTCAGAGCTCTGTTTGCTCCTGCTCGGGCAAGTGAGCCTGCCTCTTCATTGCCCTCGTACCCTGTATGTGCTGGTACCCATGCTAGAGTCAGTCTGTTCTTACTGTCCAGTTCATTTAGGGTTTCTATGCAGTCCCATACTAGTTTTGCGTTAACTTGCATGGATTTGTCTGCTTTGATGGCCGCCTGGCTATCTGAATAGATTGCAATGGTTTTGCCTTCAAACTCTTGCCTTATCGATTCTTTCACGCAATGATGTATTGCAATAACTTCTGCCTGAAACACCGCCGCGTATATTTAACTAGGCTCTGTGATGAGATTCTTGTCTTTGGCTTGGCCCCATAAATACCAGCTTCTGATATCCTTCTACAGTTTTGGAGCTGTCCGTATAGACATATACAGGGTCGCTGATATGTATGGAAACAGGTGAATATCTCGGCAATCTGTTGTTAGATTCTTTTGAATTTATGTACAGTGTGATTTCAAAACGTGGCGGATTTGAAAATGTTATACCCTCTGTTGCCGCTTCTTCAGTTATTCCGGATTTTTGGTAACTTCCTTATTTTGAATGAAACACCCTGTACTTTATTGGATTTCCAGATTCTCCTTGAAGAGCTGATTCCATCGATCTATCATACTTGGGGTCGAGCGGGAATGATTACATAGGTATAGGGTGTTTAAAATCTAGGTTTCTCAACTTCAAGATTTTTTTGTGTAGAAACTATCCATTATCGATCAAAACTGCTTTAATGTTCCTATCTTCACTTTCGATTTACCATCTACTGACTATTCAATTGGAACAGATACAGAGAGGGTGATCAGAATTCTGAATCTTGAACCACCCTGTATTTGTTGCAATTGAATGTCAGTAGATAGTAAATCAGAAGTAAAGATGGGAACATTGGAGCGGTTTTGATCGATAATGAATAGTTTCGACACAAAAAAATACTAAAGTTGAAAAATCTTGATTTTAAACACCCTATACCTATGTATTCATTCCTGCTAGACCCCAAGTGTGATGGATTGATGGAATTAGCTCTTCAGGGAGAATCTGAAAATCTAATAAATTACAGGGTGTTCTATTCAAAATAAGGAAGTTAATAAAAAATCCGGTATAACTGAAAAAGTGGCAACATTGGCCATAACATTTTCAAATCTGCCACGTTTTGAAATCACAAAGTACATAAATTCAAAAAAATCCAACAACAGGTTACCGAGATATTCACCTGTTTCCATACATATCAGCGACCCTGTATAGTATGAGATACTTAAGAAAGATAAATGGAAAAACGAAGCTGGACAGAATAAGGAACGAAACAATAAGATAAAATCTCAATCAGGAATCAATAACCAACAAAATAACGAAAAGACAATTGAATTGGTATGAACACATGATGAGGATGGAACCAGACAGAATAACGAAGAAGATACACGAAGCATATCAAAGAAGAAGAAGGAAAGACCACGGAAGAAATGGATACAACAGATAGCAGAGGCAGGAAGAAGAAGAGAGAAGTCGTTGAGAGAGATGAAGATACTGACAGAAAATAGGAAATCATGGAAACAGTGGGTAAACGACACAACGGAAAATTAGCCCGATTCCGACGCCCAAGAGGGTAAAAGGAAGGGGAGAAAGAAAGGAAGAAAGTATTTTTTTTTATTTTCCTCAAAGACAATTCACGATAATTGTAGTAGGGAAAGTCAAAACAAATCTTAACTCTAAATCCGATCCTCTTGGTTCTCACGATGTTCTCTGAAGTTGGTATGTCAGTAGTTCAATCTAATGAAAATATAGAACTCAGAAAAACCGGTGGTGTACAATGACATTTACCATGAATATCGATAAATTCATCCACTGTGACGCAACTGTAAATAATATTTCGAATCATATTGCACTAGAAGAAGCTCCATTTTACTATTAACAAAACCAAAACGTTTTATTGAGATTGATGAAGAGACAATTTAGAAATGAATAGAAACATGATTTTTCATGAAAATATTGATACCCTGTATCTCAAAAACGAAATAAGTTAGGACACATGTTCATATCAACTAAATTTTCTTGGATATCACAAAGGATCATCCCTTGAATTTCGGTGTTATTTAGATAGACAAAAAAAAATCTTTTGTGCCTTGATATATTTTTCCACAACCATTCATGATGAAAAAATTATACCTAATAATAAATGAAACTCATTCCTTCCAGGTCGATTATGAACCAATTGCATCAGCATCAATTCTCTCACCAAGCTCATCGTCCACACCAGCTGCAATATTGCAACGTCTTTCCGAAAATACTTCGGAATTGGAGGCCAATGACACTTCAAGATCTACTGAAGTACCTTTAGTAGATGGTTTAGATATAGTCGTGCCGTATGTGCCAGTAAGTATGTATTTACTGAGTGTTCTATAACGATGATTCATAACTTCATTATCTCCCATATTTTCTGCGTTTCATTGCAGTGGTACCAGCATCGAATGGAATTGAATTGAATTGATTTAGTTCAGAAATATTACAATATCATGAAACACTTCAAAGTGATAAATAGGACAATTAATAGTCCAAGTATAAGAATATAATGATATACCGGGTGTCCCATTTTAATCTTTATTTGGAAATTTCTCGAAATGTATGCATCTGACAAAAAAAATTGACGGATAAAAGTTGTATGGTTTGGGGGGACGTCTGGTTATAAAACAAGTTTCACTCCCTAACCCCCAGGGGAGTAAGAAATGGAGGTAACATTGAAATCTTTAATGGAAACCCCTATTTTTTATTGCAGATTCTGGAAGAGCATTAAAAACTATGAAGATTTCATTCGGGAACTTCTTTTTTATTTTCACAAGATGGCGCTGCGATCGTAAAAAACAATATTTCACTATTTACACATTTCAACCCCCTGAAGACGAGGAAGAGTGTAGGGTGTGATATTTTCCCGGACAAACACCATTGGGGTGATATTCACACGACAAATCAACGCTAAACGAACTTACTTACCTACACCTCTACATAGAAAAGAGAAAAATAAGCATGTTTCAGCAATTAAGGTATCATTTAGGTCAGACTAAAGCTGGTTTTAAGTGAGATTGACTACATTATCAAGTGTTCAAAATGACCTCCATTTTCTTGAATACACAAGTTCACTCGTTTTTCAAAATTCCGCACTGTCGCTTCCAACATAGCAGGCGTTAAAGCCATGCACGCTCCTCTAATTCTATGTTTCATATTCTCGCCTGTGGTTGGGGGTTTGCGAAACACAATGTTTTTGATGTAACCCCACAGAAAGAAGTCTGGGGAAGTCAAGTCGGGTGTTCTGGGTGGCCAACTACAAACTAAATAGTAAAATATTGTTTTTCAAGATCGCAGCGCCATCTTGTGAAAATAAAAAAGAAGTTCCCGAATGAAAGCTTCATAGTTTTTAATGCTCTTCCAGAATCAGCAATAAAAAATAGGGGTTTCCATTGAAGATTTCAATGTTACCTCCATTTCTCACTCCCCTGGGGGTCAGGAAGTGAAACTTGTTTTATAACCAGACGTCCCCCTCCAAACCATACAACTTTTATTCGGCAATTTTTTTTGTCAGATGCATACATTTCGAGAAATTTACAAATAAAGATTAAAATGGGACACCCGGTATATAAAATTTCATAATGTTCATATGGGTTACCTAGTTTTTGTTAAGATGTCTCTGTTTTTGATTAATTTGAAATATTCGTCAAATGAGTATAGGCAGTTCTCTGTCAGAATGTTTTTCAGTTTTATTGAAAATTTGGACAATGACAGGTCACGAAATTCGGATGGTAAGGCATTGTACCATTCAACACTTCTATTCGTATGTCTACGTAAGTTTCTTGTGTCGTGTCTGTGAAAATCGGATTGTGCCTGACAGTTGCTCGTGTTTTTTTCTTACGTACAATAGGTTATGGTACAGAATGGTCGAAAATAGGGTCATGATCTTTAGTTCCTCAAATATAGGTCTGCAGCTGACCTTCCAATCAACTTTTTTTATACTGCGTAAGGCAGATTTTTGAATGATTAAAATTCTTTGTGAATAACAATTTGATCTATTGCCCCATATCAGACCTCCATATGTCAAAACAGAGTGGAAGAGTGCAAAATATGTTGTGCGTGCAGCTGATTGGCCAAGTGAATAACAAATTTTCCTGATAGCGTACACTGTTCTTGAGAGTTTTCCACACAATATATCTATATGTTCTGACCATTGCAACTTTTTATCTAATTCAACTCCCCGGAAATTAACATGGTTATTTGAATTTTCGAAAGTTTGACTTTCACTTTTACTTTCATGTAATAGCATATCATTGTGCTCGAACCAAGCCCTAGCCTTCTCCAAGAACAATTTCAGTATCTTCTTCTTTTTCCAATTCAATGCCAAACGTAGTATCGTCCGCATACATAATGGTTGATGCGTTTGAAGAATTCATAGTGTAAGGGAGATTATTTGTGTAAATCAAGAACAGAAGGGGACCCAAAACTGATTCTTGCGGTACTCCTCTCTTCACAGTAGCTATATCACTTCGTTCTTCGCCAATTATGACTTCAATATGTCTAGTGCTTCACCACATATTCCGTAGAGATTGAGTTTTTCTAGTAATATATATATATATATAACCCCGAGATACCTTCCAATTTTGAATAGAATCGGATCATAATCACAAAACTCGTTCGCCATATGATATTCCTCCTAAGTAAATACCCTGTACATTATTATTAAAATTTTGAATGATTTTCTGTAGCGACCATGGAAGTGACGTGACAGCAATGTCAGGGATGTCAGTAGACAAAACTAAAGTCTCTAGATCATTAAAAAAGAATGCAGCTATGATCTTTCCGTACCCCTGTTAAGACGACTTTTACGTCAATTTCCAGCAAAAGACCATATTATCTACTATAATACCATCCAGTGACTCTATATCTGTCATTCATTAGTTCTGGCAGAGCAATATTCACTCTGCAGTGCAATTACTGCTAAGTAAGTCTTCGATAATTGCATTGCTCTTATTGGACATTTCATATAAAAATATGAGGAAAATATTCCCTATAATTTGTGCCAACTGTTTTTGCAACTCGAAAATCTTAACACCCTGAACAGATATTAAAATCCACAAATCCCTTTTTTCAAGCAGGCGATGCAACATTCTGATCTCCACTGAAGTATGTGTCATCTTCATTGTCAAAATTCGTAGTGAAAGTCGCTAGAGCGTTATCCAACTTTGGAATCCCAGATAAATTTCCGTATTCGTTAGACACCATGTGCGAACCACGATGCAGTGCCAAATCTGGTCGGGCAAGCTCCGCTAGCTCCCAAAGATATGGCCAATCTCATGGACAGTCTCACGGACAATCTCATGGCCAGTCTCATGGCCAATCCAGCCACCATAACAGAACTCGAATATCCGATAGAACGAACCCTGAGTACGCCAACCCGGCAGTCTTGGGCCAAGTAGAAGAGCTGGAATCGCTCGGTGTTCTCAGCAGAAGCGAAATGGCTGATGACATCGGTGCAAACATGGACGATCCAGCGTACGCAGACGGACATTTATTGGACTACAGCCGTTCCCGGGTATTCAGCACGATATCCTTCGACCAGTACAAGAATGAATCGATGGGCCTGATGAACCAAGAAATGATGAACACTGGGATGCTAGGAGCACCAGGAGATGACAGCTTGGGGATAATGCCACAGATGCAAACGGACGCAAATAGGTTCGGAAGAGGATATGAAGCTGATTACAGGAATGCGAATAATCGAGAACAGATGTATGAACCTTTTCCCCAGTCGAGTAGAAGAGGCAATAATCAATCTTATAACGATTCCTTAGGGCTTGTGAATCAGTCCGTGTTGAACACTGGGATGCTAGGTGCTCCAGGAGATAACAGCTTGGGAATAATGCCGGAAATGCAAATGGAAGGCAATAGGTTCGGAAGAGGTTATGAAGCTGAATATAGGAATGCGCAAAACGAAGAACAGCTGTACGAACCATTCTATGCTTCTACACCTTGTGCTACTGGAAAAGCACCTTGTCCAGGAAGAGCACAATCATCCTATGACGATTCTACGGGGATAATGAGTCAGTCTGTCATGAATACTGGCATGCTAGGTGCACCAGCAGATACCAGTCTAGGCACTATGCCGCAAATTCCAATGGAAGCAAATCGATTCGGAAGGGGGTACGAAGCTGAATACAGTAATGCGCAGAATCAAGAGATGCTGTATGAGCCGTTCCAGCAGTGTGGTCAGCAGAGTGGATTTAGTCCACAGTTCCATAGCTCTGGTAGGGGAGCTCAGGGTGGTATCCAGGATACCACTCCACCTTCTGGCATGGCTGATGTGTCCCGTGCTTTGGAATCGCAAAGTCAAATGACTGTGTTCGATCCTGAGATTTTGAATTCGACGATGGCTCCGAGAACGACAGATTTGAATGTTAGGAGGCAGGTGCTCCTGAATTCGTTTATAAGGGATATGGAGGAGTTGGAGCAGACTGAGGAATACGAAATTGATGAGCTGTTGAAGGATTTCCATCATAGTAGGAGGGAAGAGCTCCATATGAGTCTAAGTTAATGTAATCATCTCGAATATGTAACGGGAATATCAAATAAATGAGTATTGAGTTACACCTAATGTGCGAAATTCTTTCGATATTACTAGTGGTGGATGATGAAACAAATCAGACATACAGTGTGTCTCACTTCTAATGGAAACAACTTTGTATCTTATGTAATCGTTGGGTTAGGATCCTGAAATCTGCTGCAACAAGAGGTAAACCAAAAATGCACTCTATGACCAAGTGGAATCATCTTGAGTGATTTACACTGCTCGCCAACAGCCATTGAACACTACAATTTACGGAAAATTATATTAGGAGTCGAAATAGGTTGAAAATCACTTGGGATTCGGAATCCGGACACCCAATACACATACAATTCAAATTTTGCCTGGAAAATTTTTAGTTCTGAAAGTTTCATTTTTGTCCTTTTCTTCATGGAAACACTCTCGTATCTCACGTAATCGTTGAGTTAGGATCCTGAAATTTGCTGGGAGCGAGAGATATGCCAAAAATGTACTCTATGACCAAGTGGAGTCATCTTCAGTGATATACACTGCTCGCTAACAGCCGTGGATCTACACACTTGTCCGGAAAATAATATCAAGAGACAAGATGTTGTTGAAAATCACTTCAGATTCGAAGACAGTACGTCCATTTAACTAACTTCTTATATTTCAATGCATTATTTTCGTAACAATTTTCTCCATACTATTAATCAATTCAGTCACTCATAATTAATTTCAACACTTAATGATTTCTGATCCATTGGATCAGTGCTGATAATCTATTCAATTGTACTGGTTCTGATTAAAATTCCATTATCACTGATGAGAAATGATTTCATGATTATCAATTTCAGAACAACCATTAATAAGTGAATTTTCCTATTTGATAAATTTTTCCTCCTGGAATGTCGGTGGTTCTGTGGCTGCTGGCGAGCAGTGTATCATTGAAGATGCTCCTACTTGGTCATTGACCTCTTTCTTGGCCCTAGGAATATTGGACTTTCACATCAATAATTACGTAAGAAACTTGGGTGCTTCCATGAATAGTGAGACAGAACATATTATTTAAGAACTGAAATTTCTTCAGGGAGAATATGGAAAGTTAGTGAATTAGACGTTCTGTATTTGTTCTCGAAGTGGTTCCATGGCTGCTACCGAGCAGTGTATATCACTTGTTGTAATTCCAATTGGACATTGACTGCATATTTGGAAATTGCTTGCTCCTGGAAATAACAATCGTAACTCGATAATTACGTAAGATACAGGAAGTTTCCATGAAAAATGGGACAAAAATGAAATCACCAGAACTGAAAATTTCCCAAGCAAAATATGAATTGGGCGTCCTGATTCCGAATTCGAAGTGATTTTCAACCTATTTTGCCTCTCAATACCATTTTCCTGGAATTGGGGTGGTTCCATGGCTGTTGGCAAGCAGTGTATATCACTGAAGACGACCCCACTTGGTCAAAGATCACATTCTTGGTATATCACTCGCTCCAGCATATTTCAGGATCCGTACCCAACGCATACGTAAGATACAGGGGTGTTTCCATTAGAAGTGAACCACCCTGTATAATAAAAATTATTGATTGATTGATTGTCTTTATTACCCCAAGAAACATTTCTGTTTATGATAGGGATACATAAATACATATAAAAAAATAATAATAAAGGGTTAACTATAATGAATTCCACTCAGTGGAAACGAATTAATATTGTGTCTTATAAGATTAAAGTTATATATTATTTCATTCCTAAGTAATCAAATCATGCCACATATTTTTCTTTCAATTATCCTGAGCAAGTATTTTTTAAGATTGATTTCAAACCTTCTTGCATCATGTATATTTTTTAACTCATTCGGTAATGAATTGTATAAAATTATTCCATTGTGAAAAACAGATTGTTTGCCAATGTTTGACTTGAATGTATTTGCTATCAAGTAATTCAATTGTCTAGTCCCATAATTATGGACTGTATTGACTTCATTGAAAGCTAAATTTGATATTTTCAACTCATTCCTGGCAAAATGAATAAAGCAACATATTTTAAGTTTATATAACGAAATCAGGTTCAGAAAATGTCTTGGTTTGTATAAATTTATCGTTGGTTCTAGAAAATGTAGATGAAAAATGCACTTAATTGATTTGTTTTGTAATTTCATTAGTGGTTTCAAACGTGAAATATTTGTACTCCCCCAAATAGAAATTAAATATTGCAAATTTGAATAAATGAGGCAAAAGTAAATACATTTCAAGTATTTTATGGGAATAATATTTATGAAAACCTTTAGGAAACAGATGAAACCGTACATATTAATGTCGAGTTGTTGTTGTTTCAGACATATCTGTACAGCTCAGCAATGGTTTTAGCTGCGATATCTGTTTTCTTGAGAATGGGCTTTCTACTGAAATTAGCCTTGATGGTATCGTCCGTCATAACTCATATAGCCGTTTATAGCTACATGGAATTCTTTCAAGAGTATCACGATGTACACGATGATGAGTAAGTATTGTCAATCTGGTATATCCAAAATCCATAGCCTATGGCATTCCTAATCTACTAACAATACCCAATGTCACAAAGAGGAAGGAAATCATCACCACAATTCCTACAAATATTATAAATGTGAATAAAAGTTTGTTTGTCGGGCTTTCACGATGAAAATATTGAGCCGATTATCATCAAATATTGTATACATATCCTTAGATGTATTTTAAAGGACATAGGATACTTCTTATTGTTGATAAACAGTGAAATAATTACCAGTAAAAAAAATGTTTTTGGCAGCTATGATTGTTCGACACAAAATACATACTCCTAATATCTATGCAACGATTTTCAAAGACAAATACAGCTGCGATATTTGCCTAACTGCAGAATTGTTCTCAAATTGTTCAGGAACGCTTGACTACCGACAGGCAGGTTTCGAACTTTTGACTTTCATCAGTACAGGGATGCCTCCAGATGGCAATCATGACCACCATCTGGTGCGAACCTGACTCAAATGATGAAATGTTTTCACATTGGGTCGGGTTCGCACTAGATGGCGGTCATGAATGCCATCTGGAGACACCCCTGCACTGATGAGAGCCCAAAGCTCGAAACCGGTCTGTAGGTAGTTGAGCGTTCCTGATTAATTTGAACACCGCATAGCATTTAGGAGAGAATTAATTGCAGCTGTATTAGTTTTTAAGAATCGTTGCATAGATATCGGGAGGATGTAAGTGAATGTTCTGCGTGGCATATAGTCAGAAAAGTAGTTGTTTTCCTCTCGTTATCTATCTTATGAACTAACGTATGGTCCGAAAGTTTTAGGGAAAAAATCAGATGCTGACAACTCTTAGAAATGAATTTTTATAATCTTAACAAATAATCTCACAATATCTCTTAACTATTCTTATCACTACCTAAAGTTCAAATAATCGACAAGGGACCGTTGTCTTCGATCTGCCTGAGTTTTCCTCTGACGCGTTGCATCATCCTTTGGACGACCCCCGCGTTGATTTCTCTGATTTTTCCCGATATACGACGTCCGAGTTGTTCTTGATTTTGTGCTTCCCATCCGTTATTGTAGACTTTCCGGCTCAATATTGCCCAGAAATCTTCAATTGGGCGTGCCTGAGGTAGGTTGGGGGGATTGTCCACTTTCGGTACAAAGTTGATGTTGTTGGCCCCATACCAATCCCTTGTGATTCTCGCATAATGGCATGAAGCAAGATCTGGCCAAAACATAATTTCGTCATTCGCATGATTTGTATTCAAAAAGTGAAACAATTAAGAAAGACATCTGTCAATATATCATTCAAGGCCTCACCACGAACAACGCCAATGTAGGGCTGTGAAATGAAACCAGCCTCAGAAATGGCACACCATACCAAAATTTTGTCCTCAAACTTCTTTTTGCTCTTGAATCTCACATCGTCAGGAACATTTGCGTGATCGTCCGTGTAGATACCATCATTGCCATTCATCTCAGAGTTGGCCAAAGTGAAATATTTTTCGTCGTCCATCACGATCGACTTGTTGGCAAAATGCACTCGCTTCAACGTGAGGCAACATCTTGGAATTCTTTCTAACTGAGCCTCTGTGTATTTTGGAGCTTTTCTCCTGTTCCGGAGGAACAAAACATTGTGTCTTGATAGGGTCTTAAACACCGTAGTCTTTCCAACATGAAATCTTCTGGCCAGTTTTCGCTGTGAGATCCCAATTCTATGTTGGGCTCAAGTTTCGTTTAGCTGAAATCAGTTATGGAAAAACTGTTGCCATGGCGACGATCTTCATGGTAACGAGTAAACAAAAATCATATTCCTGTGGTGAGGAAATGCGTGGTTGCCAAGTTGTATCGGGTTTAGTATAGATAAAATCAGTTGTGGAAAAACTGTTGCCATGGCAACGATCGTCATGATAACGAGTGAACAAAAACCCGATTTCCATGGTGAGAAAATGCGTGGTTGTCAAATTGTATCGGGTTTATTATAGCTGAAATCAGTTATGGAAAAATGGAATATTCATTACGAGGTACCGCGGAAGAGAGACTACTGGTCCTGATTGTCTAATACAGATGGAAACATCTCGTTAGGCCCACCCACATTTCCATTTGCCTTCATTTCGATTCACTTATACCTTTCTTCACGCGCACATTTTGATTCAGCAACAGTCTTCAAACATTCACGAACGATATGCCTTGCTACCAAATCTGAACGATGTTGGAAAATAATAGTTTTTTATGAAGAAGGTTGATTCAAGTCGAGTCAGGTTAGATTGTTTGGAAAAAGTAGTGTCCTTTTTTATTCAGTCTTCAAAGACACACGAACGATGCCTTGTTACGAAATCTGATCGATGTTGAAAAATGATTTTTTTTTGAGAAGGTTCATTTAAGCCGAAGTAGGCTAGATTGTTTAGAAAAAGTAGTATCCTTCCTTATGCTGTATTTGTTCCGCACTATTTTGTCGCTCGCTATTTTGTCTAGCTCTGTTCAATAACAGCCTATTTTTCCTGACGTTATTTCCATATATAATCGTCAGAGAAGTAGTAATTTGGGAATTAATCAACGACGAACAGTCTTCAAGAAATTGATAAGAAGGGTATTCATTCGAATCAAGTTATTGTTTGAATACTAGCAAGAACTTTCGTGAAACTAAAGTTGATACAACTTGGCAACCACGCATTTCCTCACCACGAGAGTCGGGTTTTTGTTTACTCCTTACCATGACGATCGTTGCCATGGCAACAGTTTTTCCATAATTGATTTCAGCCAAACCAAACCCGATACAACTTGGCAACCACGCATTTCCTCACCACGGGAATTGGGTTTTTGTTTACTCGTTACCATGACGATCGTCGCCATGGCAACAGTTTTTCCATAACTGATTTCAGCTAAACGAAACTTGAACCAGTTCAAACATGGTATCCCTTCTTCACAATCTTTAATTGTACGATATATTGGTGATTTACTTATGTTCTGATCTTGAGAAATATCGACAATCTCTCGTTTCGTCATTCGCCCAACGAGATTATAAATTCCTCGACGAAGCTCAATTTTATAGGACATTTTGGTAAGCGCAAACCAACAACTTTTACATTGCTTATTTAGATGACAAGACGGGTGACATTTAATTACCACGCCTGCTTGATTAAATGCATTTTGTCACTCAATCAAACCAGGTGAATTTTTTCCCAAAACTTTCGGATCATACGTTATTATGGTAATTACTTGTAATTTCCTCCTTCTTGTGACCATGTGATTCCATGCACTTTGGGTATTTGGCATTTTCCTATAGTTGAATACCCAAAGTGAAATCTAGAAAAACAAGAACCTCTGATTGATTCAATATTCACTATGAATTTTCCCAATGATGAACATTCCCTACTTCCAAATTTCATTTTCATTTCATAGGTTTCCAGCAATACCTTTTGAAATCAAAACGGCCTTAGCTCTCTCACTGGTGGTTGTGTTCTTCCATATTCTGGACAGGCAGATCGAATTCACATCAAGAACAGACTACCTTTGGAAGGCCAAACTGAAGGTGGAACAGGAAGAGGTCGAAACAATGAGAGGTATCAACAAGGTAGTCATCAATAGAATTTATCACAGTAGCCTTGACTTTGGATGAAATGGTTGCTAAGAGAATTGAGCAAAATTTGACTTATAAACTACGTAATACTAATTTCGTCGCACCCCAAAATTCTGCCTCTGTTGAAATATGAATAACTTTTATTCTGCTTTGAACGATTTGAATTTGAATCACACTGTTTGCTAGCCCAGTCCCTTAGCTATAATTTCGTAATTATTTGAAACATGAGGTTCTTTACATAAAATCGCTACAGGGTGTTACCTAAAACTGTGCAAAATTTCGGAAATTTCAAAAGTATCCCAAATGAAGATGAACTTTTTCTTCAACTTTGACAGTAGAGGCATGTAGATAATCTCATTATCTTGGGACAGTTCTCGAATTGTCTCCTTATCTCTTTTATTTACAGAGTGATCTCGAAAAATTAACTTTTTGGTTTTGCAGTCATACCATATTTCCTCGTCAACCGATTTTTGGAATCTCAGGCTCATTTTGAAGCTTAAACTTCAGATGAAGAGATATGAATATCAGAAATGACTCAAGATGAACATTATACAGTGTGTCCCACTTCTAATGGAAGCACCCCTGTATCTTTCGTAATTGTTGAGTTAGGATTCTGAAATTTGCAAGAGCGGTAGATATACTGGAAATACACACTATGATCGAGTGGAGTCATCTCCAGTGATATACACTGCTCGCCAACAGCCATGGAACCACCCACAAAAATGATATAAGGAGGCGAGATAGGTTGAAAATCACTTCCGATTCAAAATCATGACCTCCCTCTCGCTTTCTCCTGCTAATTCCACCCCTACCTCAATAATTACGTGAGATACGGGGGTGCTTCCATGAGAAGTGAGAGAAAATTTTATTTTACTGAACTGAGAATTTTTCAAAAATAATATGTATAGTCAGTGAATTCGACGTCCTGATTTCGAATTCGAAGTGATTTTCAACCTATCTTGGCTCCTAATAACATTTTCCGGAAATTTGGGTGGTTCCAAGGCTGTTGGCGAGCAGTGTTCATCACTGGAGATGACTACCCTTGGTCATAGTGTTTATTTTCAGTACATCTCCCGCTCCTGTGAGTTTCAGAATCATAACTCAAGAATTACGAAACATACAGGGGTGCTTCCATTAGAAGTGATACACACTGTATTATGTTCATCTTGAGTCAATTCTGATCTTCATATCTCTTCATCCGAAGTTTCAGCTTCAAAAACGGAAACAAGGAAAAAAGTGATGACTTCAAAACCAGAAAGTTAATTTTTTGAGATCACATTGTGAATAAAAGAGATAAGAAGATAATTTCAAAAATGTCCATAAGTAATGGGATCATCTTCATGCCACTGCTGTCAAAGTTGAAGAAAAAAAGTTTTCGTTCATTTGGGATCCTTTCGAAAATCCACAGTTGACACCCTGTAGCGATTTTATATGTGGAACCTCATGTTTCAAAGAAGCACGAGATTATAGCTGAAGGCCTGGGCCATCGTCCCCTGGGCTAGTGAACAGTGTAATCCGAATTCAAATTGTTCAAAGCAGAAAAAAGTTATTCGTATTTTAGCAGGGACTACATTTTGGGATGCGACGAAATTAGTGATGCGTAGTTTATTATAACCTTCCAAATGAAGATCACAGGGAAAAAGGGAGAATGTCACAAAATAGGTCGCGTGCACGATGACCGACTCTGGAGGCAAAATATTGAAACACAACCTCACTTTTTTACTTGGTTGCAGAGGAATCAAAGGATTGAACTAGTTTTTCACAATATTTTGGCATACGAATCGTGTTTTTTGCGCTATTCATCAATTCGAGCATGCCTTCGCATTGTGCTGTTGTACAATGCACAAAAAATGCAGCAAGAGACTAAAGAATATGATTTTTCAGGTAAATAGTAATCTCACATAGTTATCATCATGGAATGTTGTCATTCCTTATCAAAATTCCTTCTGCCTTCTGTCACTTCTGCAATACAAGCTAATACTGCTAATAGATTGGAAATGTCTACAACACACACGATCGTCAGCATGTCAGACCAGTCCTCCCGATTGATTGCATGAATCCAATTTTCTGGCATTATTTTAGAAATTTCATATGTATTTCTATTAGCTTCTATCGCAGAAAGAATTCCGATGAGAAATCAGAGAAATTACCAAATTTCAAAAATGAAAACTATATGTGAGTGACTATAGTAGGTACTTACTTTTGAATCATATTGTACCAACCGGATTACTTCGTCTTCCGCTGCAGTTCTTGTGCATTTCACAACAGCATAATATGATGGCATGAGCGAATTGATGAATAGCGGAAAAATACGATTCGTATGCCAAAATAATTGTGAAAAACTATTTCAATCACTTGTAAACAAAAAAGTAAAGTGACGTTTGTGTTCCAATATTTTGCCTCCAGTGTCGGTCATCTGACAGTTCTTGTACGCAACCCATAGTGGAAATGGACTTGACACTATATTTTATTATAAACAGACGTCTATAGCAATAACGCAGCATAGTCAGCTAATATGCTGGTTCGAAAATACGTTTACATGGAAAAAACGCGGAATGTCCACTTCAAAAATGTGAAGCAAGGGGAACGTCCAAGCTTAGTGATTGTTTGAATACAGATTCATTTTCACACTGTCAAAAGGTCGAAGTGAACTCTCAGGCAAACGAATTATGAGAAAAAAAGAGATACGGCCACCTTTTTATCATCTCTTGGAGCGTACCAAAGGGAATCCCTATAATGTTCGGGGATCATTGTGGGTACCTAGAGAGGATAGGGAGATGAGTTAGGTATTGGGATTTTTATCATCTTTTGGAGATCATAAGTTCTTGGAAATACTCTGTTAAGCAGAAAATTACAAAGCTTTGCCGTTCTATGTATAAACGAGTTTTGGTAAAGAGTTGTTCGACATATTTCGAGGTTGACGACAAGGAAGTGTGTTGACTGGGCTTGTCGAGTACGTCTTCGTGATGGGAATAAAATAATGAGATTGCTATATATATACTCATATCGCGTAGAATTTATAGAAAATGATCAAATTATAGAGATGCTAGCTGTACTATATGACAACTTACCGCTCATTAGGTAATCAGGCAAGAATGGAGAAATGTACCAGAGCAGATAATTGCGAGTAAACAATCCAGTTTTTTGACAATTTATTTGGACATTCCCCATTTCTTCCTTGAATCTTATTCGGACTTATTTTTTGTTTTCGATGATTTTTTCATTCAAATATGATTTTTATTCCTAGTTGTTTAACTTTATTGCTCATTATACTCCATCAAATGTATCCAGGTGGTTCAATATCAGTTTCCTTCAACTTCCAAAAAGTAAAAAGAAGTCTTGAACTTTGAAATGCGTTTTTCTCGTAACTCAGTTTTGTGACATTCCCTCTTTTTCCCCTGTGGTCTTCAAATACGATGTCTGACGGTATTTTTTCTTAGATTCTGTTGGAAAACATACTCCCAGCTCACGTGGCAGAACATTTCCTGTTCACGAGAGTGCCCCAGGATCTTTACCACGAGAGGTACTCCTGTGTAGCAGTCATGTTTGCCTCGATACCCAACTACAAGGAGTTCTACGATGAGAGTGACGTCAACAAACAAGGTCTGGAGTGCCTCAGACTGCTCAATGAAATCATCTGCGAGTTCGATAAGGTTTGTTGAAGATATACAGGGGGATTCGCCATAAATGTCCCCCCCTCTAGCTCACTTATTCTTCCTCAAATTTTGCAATCGATTCAAAAATAACTGAGCTAGAGAAGGAGAACATTCATGGTGAATCACCCTCTACCAACAATAGAATTTCAAATAGTGACTGTAGGTTAATCGTGGAGGTGGTACATTCATTATTCAAGATCATTTGGGATTCTCTCTCATCGTCTCTATGAAATAAAAATATCAATACTATTTCAATATACGTGTAGTAAGGACAAATCAAATGATTTGCCCCAAAATGTCACTGCGCTTAAAAAATTTTTCTATAAGAGAGCCTGAAAGAAAAATTCACTTGCTTGTCAGTGACAATTCGAATTGAAAAAGGTTTAGAGGAAAGAAATCAAGGTATATAAAAAAAATATCGACTATTTATTTATTTTTGGACGTTTCGTGAACGAATATGCTTCCGTTTTCAACATAGAAAATGGAGCTAGATATTTTTCTGGAATATGTGAACAATGCCGAACCTACCATAAAGTTCACTTTGGGAATTGAATCTAACAATCAGTTACCATTTCTAGATGTTCTTATTGAGAAATCAAATAACATCTTTGTAACAAGTGCATATCGTGAAAGACCCATACTAACAGATACCTGAACTTTCAATCAAATCGTCAGAAAAGTATCAAGAAAGGAATAATCAAATCACTCCATGATAGAGCCAAATCAATATCATCTGACCAACAAATTTTCATTAACGACGTCCACCACATCAAAAATGCTCTCCAACTCAACTCCTATCCAAAGAATTTTGTAGATAAGGCGATTTATCAAATTGAAAACAAACAAGGTCCACCACATCAGAATCAACCATCAATAACGACAAATACTATACCATACATTCCCGGTATATCTGAAAAAAATAAAAACGTGTTGGTGATGAATTTCAAGTGAAAACTGTGTTCAAAACTGAAAATACAATGAGATCAATTCTAACTCAAACAAAGCCGAAAAATGGAGAACAATCGTCAAGAAATTGTATTTACAGTATACCTTGTGTTTGTGGAAAGTTTTATATAGGTAAAACCAAGAATGGAATAATAATAAAATCATTGGGAAAGAAGATAACAACCTCAAGAGAAAAACCAAGGAATCTGCTTGCATTCTTCTGAACGGAGACAATAGCATTGCTTCCTGTTCAGTTGATATAGATAGAACATGGTTTATTCACTATTGAAATCTGGGAATGAAAATGGTATATTCAAGATTAATAAATGAAAACATCCTGTAACCCGATCATTTGATTGCCAAAGTCACCAATTGTCACTGGGAACTGATAAGTGTCAAGAAAAATACGAATTTACCAAACAAAAATCCATTTTTTATGTTGAAAACGGGAGCAGATTCGTTTCCGAAACGTCCAAAGATAAGTAAAAAATCGATATTTTTTATTTTTCTGCTCCAAACCTTTTTCAATACAAATTGTCACTGCCAGCTGGTGATTTTTTTTGTAAGCTTTCTGATAGGAAAATTCTTTGAACGCAGTGACATCTTGGGGAAAATCATCTGATTTGTTCTTACTGCACGTATATTGAAATAGTATTGATATTTTCATTTTATAGGGAATTTCACGTTATTTCCACATTATTTCCATAGTGATGAGTGAATATGTTTGCAGCTACTTCTGAAGCCGAAGTTCAGCTGCATAGAAAAGATCAAAACCATTGGCAGCACTTACATGTTGGCATCTGGCTTGAGGCCTGGCAAGGAGGATGATAGTAAGGTCAGTCAATGGAATTATGTTCGTCGTACACTGCTTCATTGCTACTGAAATTCTAGTGCTTAGATAATTGGGGGACTGCTTAGTCAACAATTTTATCACACAATATTCAAAGTTGATCTTTTTTTCAAACGGCCTTGATATTCTAGGATATATTCAAGGTAATATTTTCATCAAGAGTAGTGGCATTGGATTAGATCGTCAATTTGTTGAATGAACGATTATTGTTGAGCTGACTAAGCTAACTGGTTCTATTGTTGAAATGATTTTCAGGAAGCTAGCCGAAAAGAAGAGCATATTATCACTGCCTTACTGGATTTCGCAGTTTTATTGAAGGCTAGCTTGGAACAAATAAATAGAGATGCATTCCAGAGATTCAAATTGAGGGTTGGTGAGTAATGATAAATGTTTTCATACCTAAGCAAATATTGGAGGTGTACGTTTTTGATGACTTGACAATATTTTGTTCCTGTAACGACACAATTCTATAGAGCTCATTTCTGTTCCGCGTCAGGTGCAGGGGCGGCGAGTGCATGGGGGCATCGGGGCCAATGCACCCATGTAGGCAGTGGGTATGGGTGCAATGCACCCATTGGCCGAAACAGACGTATAAAAAAACAAATTAGATACGGGCGAAATGATCACTTGTAAATATTGCACATTGTTGCTGGACAAGTATAGGTAAACAACCATGCGAACCGTATATTCGATTCATGTGCATCCAGGGTTTGACACTGTGCACTGTGCAGATATTCCGATTTAAATTTTAGACATTATGACATCACAGGTTACAAGTGCCAGTTTGGAAAAAAATAGAAGTGGCTAATGAATCCATTGATAATACAGTCAGTATGAATACCTTTGCAATAAATTAACTGGGGTTACTTGCTAATTTTTTCGAATCCCGAAGTTTCTCTATACCATTTTTTGAGATATGAGAATTATTAAATCTCATTTCATTTTTGTAGAGATTGAATTTTCTAATATCGTTTTAAATTTTGAGTTATGTTCACTTTTTTCAATGGTGAAAAAAAATTCTTCTATTTCTCATCCTTGTTCATATTAATATATCAACCATAAACTCGAAACCCGATTAGTCACAAAATATTATATATTGGTAGAGGTGTTTCACACTTGATGCAAAATAAATAATGCTTTGATCTATCTTGAAATTTGATGGCATTTGACCTTGAACCATGGAAAATTTTCGCCTGCGGCGCATAATTTTGTCTTACCCTGACCCCTCAATTTTGGCACCCATTGGACAAAACAAAACTCGCCGCCCCTGGTCAGGTGGTTGTATGATTGATGTTAAACCGATTGATGTAATTTTCCAATGTGTTTAATTTGTTTTTCCATTAATCTGCCTTTTCATAAACAGTGCTTTTCTTCAATGCACCCCCTCCCTTTAATTTTTGAACGAGTCCCAAAAAAAAATTGAAACTGGGGGTAATGGTATTGATGCATGAATACCCAGCGAGCACAAAAACATCTCAGAGATGTTAAAAGTACGAGATTTCGAGACATTGAACCTCCACTGCGATTTTCTGTTCACACATGAATAAAACTATTATAGAACAGCCAATGTCCGCCGCAGGCGGCAATTATCGAGATGTCCTTGATATGTCACAAAACTACCTTCTCCCTAGTTCTTTTTAAAGCCTTCTCATGGACACAACAGAACATTTTCAACGCGTCTTGCGCACATTAAATCGCTGTGAAAAAAACATTTTCGAGGTACTTTTCTGAAGCCTTTTGTCAAAATAAACTTTTGCATTAGGATTCCATTTCCCTTGAATGAAAAAATGCATTAAAAATAGATTGAACATAAAAATATTTTCTTGATATGAAATTACCTTCTTAATCGGTTTCTGAGTAGTGCTTACTACACACAGACATATAATTGGAAATAGGTTTCCCAATTTTTTAAATGTTCTCCACAATGCATAATTTTGAAACTGCGGAGAAGCTGTGTATTGATAAATTCGTACTTTTATATATTGATTACACTGAGGCACCGAACAACACATCTTGCATCTGATGGTCATTATTACAAACTAAATAAGTCTTCTAACACAACAAACTTCACCAAATTCCTTTCTGTTCGTTAGCAGCGTGATGTAAGCGTGACACGCTACAAACGCGAATGCCAATTGCGAACAAGAAAAACAAAATCGAAAACAAATCAGAATTCATCGTATTGTGACGTAATCATAAGACGTTGTGGTGGGGCAAACAAAGAAAGGGCACAAAAGAACAAAAACAATACTTTCAATATCCTTCTAAGACCTCTTTGGGAAGTGCATATTACGCCTCAAAAAAACATCCTCATGCCTACATTTCTAAAACATCCCAAAACATCCCAGGGATACCTCTCAGTAGGCAAACAAAGAAATGCCACAGAAGAACAAAAACAATACTTCAATATCCTTCAAAGACCTCTTTGGTCAGTGCATATTACGTCTCAAAATAACATCTTCATGCCAACATTTTCGAAACATCCCAAAACATCCCAGGGATGTTTGTGCTCGCTGGGTAGTATATTTTGAAATTGAAAATTCCAAGATGGCGACTGGGCGCCAACTGGAAATAACGTTCAATGGGCAGAGGAGTCTTGTGATACATAATTTTGAAGCTCCTGACGAATACTTCACAACCCTAAAGTTTGAAGTCGATATCTTCACGTACTAGATGCTACAAATGGTTACCTTGAATTTCTTGACATAAGAACAGCCTATCTGATATTTTACGCCAAAACCTATCGAACTGTTAGGTACTTCCTTATTGAGAATTCCTTGAACAATGTTATGGTTATGAATACTGTTAAAGTTAAATTCTGAAACACCTCGGTGACGAATGTTTATTTACCAATGGAACGAAAATTGAAACAACATCCTTGAAATTTCATAATCGTCTACAGGTTTGAACCACGGCCCGGTGATAGCAGGAGTAGTGGGGGCCCAGAAGCCCCAGTACGACATCTGGGGCAACACCGTCAACGTCGCCTCCAGGATGGACTCCTGCGGGCAGCTGGGCCGCATCCAGGCCACCGACCTCACCGCGCAGGTGCGTTGATCTCCCTCTGTACAGGGTGGGGCAAAAACCGCATATCGATATCTATCTTTATTTCAGAGTTACAAGGTGTTTTTCGAAAATGTGAATTTTTGGAAGGTGGCAAAAACTCTCTTTTTTTGGCAAAAACTTTTCGTTTTCCTGAAAAACATCTCCAAAGCATTGTGTTCATCGTGAAAATTGATACTCAGGCACTTAAATCAGTCACTATATACCTAGTTGCAGAATAAACTCTTACTTCAAGAAGAACAAGTTAGATTCTTGAACTAGAAATAGGAAGGCCGATTTCAGTGGCTCGAGAACAGTTTTTATCACATGTATTTATCATATTCATTTCATGAGAACAGACAATTTTTGCGAAAAAAAATATCTGTAGTCACTTTTCAAAAATGCCTATTTTCGAAAAACACCTTGTAACTCCGAAACGAAGACAGATATCGATATGCGGATTTCACCATTGAGTTTTTTATGAGAATCGACTCTCAAACACCGACATTAGTTCTCTTCCACCTGGTTCGAGAATAGGACTTTCCCTTCAAAAGTGTCCAATTTGGCCCACCCTGTACATGGTGGAGTGAAAAACAACACCTACCTTCTCTCTCTGTCCTCCCTAGGAAATCGCGAACACTGGGTGGAAATGACTGTGAGCTTTTCACATTTATTTACTATTTCATTCCACTGTGAGCATTGTGGCTATTTCGTAGTTCATATCACGCCAGTCGGGCTGCCAGCCACTCCCGTATGGGATTTTCAGTTTTGGAGTGAATCTTTCCTCGGTTCTACTCAGATGGCGTTACTTTCATTTTATCGATGAGAGACGCCTCGGGGTGGATATAATGCCAACTTGATTTTTGTTTGGCTAGGCTTCGCTGAGTCGGCGGTCTTAGGACTGCTGGCTGGAGACTACACTGCACTGATGAGAGTCAAAGAGCTCGAAACCGGTCTGTAGTTGTCTAGCGGCCTGGCTTAATCGAAATCAATAGGCATTGAGGAAAGAATCACTTGTATCAGTATTCGTTTAAACGAGTCGATGCATAGATTTCGGGAGGATGTAATTCAATATCCTGCGTGGCATTAGCCAGGGAAGTAGTTGTTTTTCTCCCGAAATCTACCATTGTTGTTCATTTTTTAATGAACACTGGGTGGAAATGACTGTGAGCTTTTCACATTTATTTACTATTTCATTCCACTGTGAGCATTGTGGCTATTTCGTAGTTGATCATATTGATGGTTATTCATACCACACCAAATTTGGTTAAAATCGCATGAGTAATAACTGAGATATAGAGGGGGGCCATTTGAAGTGAGACATGCTGTATATATGAGTATGTATGCGGATGGTGTATGTTATGAGTAGGAAAATGAATATAAGAAACATATCTATAGAATGTTCCATGATCTGCTTGACTTTTGACATTTGAAATTTCTGACTTCTGTCATGTCAATTTATATAACCTTCATTTTCACGCACATGTGATTCCTTCTCTTCAACAGGTAAATTTTGATACCTCATCAAACTTTTAGTTTGAGTTTTCAAAGTCTAATTATCACCTTTCGGTAATTCAAGGGCACGTGTGCCCTTGTAAAACATGAACCCGACCCTAAACGACATGAATTTATATTCAAATATCTAATCTATTTTGTATTATTTTACAGTGACAGTGAGTTTTTCAGGTTTTTTATCACTACCTCTTAATATCCTACATCAATTATTCTCCAGATCATGGAGCATATTTCCTTGTTCGCACTATTATTAACTATATACTATTTGTATGCCTACATTTTTCATTTCCATGTAAGTACTGAGTGATTCTTGCATCTATATCCTAAGTCAACACTGATTTTTCTAGAACATAATATTTTCTATTGGCTGATGATGGGCTTATATAAGCCCGAAACATGTTTCCTGAAGATTGATCTTTAATCATTCTAGTAAATGTTGTGGAGATGACTTTGGGTTTTCATCTATAATCTACACCACCCCACTTTGAGTTACCATGGACTTCTTCCACAGATTATATCTATAGAAAATCGCCAAATGAAATTATCCTTTGTTCTCACAGGTCCTGATCAGGGCCGGCTACCAGTGCGAGTGCAGAGGCCCCACCTACGTCAAGGGGAAGGGCACGCTGACGACGTACTTCGTCAAAACGGCGTTCGACGACAAGAACTGCTGAGCATCCTACCGGTAGTAGGTTTGGCGTGGATCGGGCGTACCCCCACTCCTCGAGTTCCTTTATCGGCACGTGACGTCGCCAGCCAATCAGCCATTCGTAAGCGTTACACCACAGTGGCTATGTTCCGAATTGAACTGATTGTCCTTTCCGAAATCAACAAAATTCACTGAAAGTGACAAGGCTCGAGAGCAGATATAGGCTTTATTCCGAATTCAACTGACAGTAATAAATCTGCTGATTTTTCATTCCGAAATAAAAAAAAAATCAATGAAAGTGGCAGATACTTGTGAGCAGACATATACTAATCATCCCAAATATTTCAACTCAATATTCTGCTGGAATCTATCAAAATGTAGTGTGGGTTCAAAGAACTGTTATTATTTCAGAAGGGAAAGGAATGTCACATGTCACATTCATATCCGTTGCTTTTCAAATATGTCTTGTCTTATCACTAATAAATTAATAATATCATTTTTGATATGGAAAGATGAAATTATTGAAATAATCGACGCTGAAAATGATATGGAGTATGAAGTAGTAGTAGTAGTAGTATATACAGTAAGCAGATTCAGTTCTGTTAGTTGAATTATTAATAAAGTCATACTAATCATACTATCCATTTCGAATATTCTCGGCTCAGATGTCTTTTTTATGTTCCGGTTCCCACGAAAATTGATATACTGTAATGTGCAGAGAACATCGTGAGAACCAAGCGAAATAAGGTAGGAATTGGTGTTCTTCTTGAATATCTGGAGGTTATATGCCTTGGAGAACACCTTCCTTGGCAATGTGTTCCAGAGCCTCGCTGTTCGTTGGATGAACGAGTCTTTGGAAAAAGATGTTCTGCAGGTCTCCAAAGTGACCACGAAGGGGTGCGAAGCCTCAACTCGACGGGTTAATCTCGCGGGGACTGCCAAGGGAGGTACAATTGTTGATATTTCAGAAGACATCCATTTATCTTTGAAGACATCCATTTACCTTTGGAGACATCAATGTAGATGCTTGGTATTACTATCAGCAATAACCTTCCTTGGGAAAATCACGTGAGATCAATTGCTAAAAGTGCATCCCAAAAACTTGGTTTCCTGTTTCGTGCCAGGAGCTATTTCACTTCCAATCAGCTGCTTATGATCTATAAGGCACAGATCCGACTTGTTCTAGAATACTGTTCTCATATTTGAAGTGCAGCACCCAAACATACCCTGAAACTGTTGGATATATTTTGTCCAAAACAGGGCAATTCGTCTCGTGGGTGATGCCTCGCTCACAAACTCACTCACTTCTTTGGAACACCGTAGAAAAGTTGGCGATCTGGCTCTATTTTATAGAAATTTCCATGGACGATGCTCTTCTGAAATATCAACAATTTTACCTCTCTTGGCAGTCCCCGTCGAGTTGAGGCTTCGCACCCCTTCGTGGTCACTTTGATGACCTGCAGAACATCTCTTCCCCTCTTTCCAAAGACTCGTTCATCCAACTAACAGCGAGGCTCTGGAACACATTGCCAAGAGTGGTGTTCCCCGAAGCATATAACCTCCAGAAATTTAAGAAGAACGCCAACTCCTACCTTATTTACTTTGGTTCTCACGATGTTCTCTGAACATTACAGGATATTTCTTTTCGTGGGAACCAGAACATAAACAGAAAATTAGTCAATAATGAAGTCACTATAAATACTGAACTATTTCGGAGCAGCAGAATTTTAGCAGTTTCGGTGGAACTATTGACACTACAGACAGTTTGTTAAAGAGAAAACTTCATTTGAATATGGACGGTTGTGATTGGTTGGCTCGTGAAGAGACAGCTAGATGTGATTATTTTTGATTTGACTGAAAAAAATATCCTCAGTATCTAGTAAAAATATGTCGGATGATCCATCAGGGAATTTTTCCTGTAGATACTGTTGGCTCCACAGAATGTAAAATCGTGTAGGTATTCATGTCAATATTTTCAAATTATCAATGTACAACCACTTCTAGCTTGTAGGCCACTATCGGTGCTAAGTTCACATACGAAGTGCATATTTATATAATGGTCACCATTGGAATAATGAATAATCTAAAAATACATCCAGCGTTTTTTCAATGACAATGATGTTATATCTCCGTATATACAGGGTGATACAAAATTCGATGTAAATATCTCAAGGACATACTGTTTGGAGTCCAAATAAGACTTTTTGTAGATCATCTAAAATTGTGACTGAAATAACGGATCAAATCTTCTGGAAATTGGCATCTACCTACCTTTCCAGACACTTCATTTCCTTCTTGCTTCAAAAATGATGTGATCCCAGTATTGGGGGAGTTGGAAGCGGTCCACCATTATTGGCACAATTTTCATGTTTAGAAAGAGGAACTGACTTTGAATAGCATGATCTTGTGGGCAACAAAGAAATTCAAGACTTCGGTCTCTTGCATTTTTTTATTCAACTGACCGTTTGCGAGAAAATCGTAATCAACCCGGAAGATGACGTCATGACATTGCTTTCGAACGCAATGGGTTAAACCGTTGAACGCTTGCATACGGAGGTGATCTTATGTCGGAACGCATTTGAGACTGTTTGACTGATTCTGGTCCCAAAAATACGTCTTTAAAATATTTTCATCGAATTTTGAATCACCCTCTATTTTTTGCATCAATTTTTAGGCATCTTTGAAAATCCTGGACGGAATTTCTATATTGGCCTGTTTATCCCAACTAGCATTTTCAGTCACAGGCACCATGGTTCAAGAAACTATTACCTATATTTAGTGATAATAACGTATTCATCACTTATTTCAGAACTTCATAGTATAAATGTCAGTGATAGTTATTTAGTGAGTGAAAATCACGTAGTTTTTACACTAGATAATAACTTCAAAGTGAGAAATTCTCATGGCTTATTACGAAGTAACTATTTCGAAACTGTCACTCCTCAAAACTACTCTTAAGGTTTCGGAACTTTGGATATATTATTACGGTAACGCTTACCACCCCAAGAAGGTTTCACAGTTGCAATTACTCTATGGTCACCAATTAGGTTTCTACGACGTTGTCGTTACTTGATCGATCACCTAATAATTTAGTCAATTCTTGGTGATATTTCAAGTAACATATTGGTAATTCCTAATCAAACAATTCCTTCATAGTTGAAACAACTTTTCGGTAATCATATTCAGTTGAAGGTACCAATACATAGGTTATCATAACTGACGAGTTCCAAAAGTAACTTTCTGATTCATTTTCGATTGGAAGCCATATTGATTGATGTGATAACCATTTGAACAGGAAATAATTTTGGTTTTTCTTGTTGATAAACATCATTTTATGAAGAATAATAAATAGCATTCGTTCGATCACAAATTGCATAATAATGGAAATTAACATGATTTACGATGATTTTTGAAAAATAGCCGAATGAAATAAAACCATATTTTTGGTGAAATGAGCCGTATTTTGTGGGCGCATCTTGAATTTCGAGGCAAAATCATCACATTTATCGAAAAACTGAATGTTGTTCGAATTTTTCAAGTTCGAGTATCAATTATTTCGCGTGTTTGTCCTTGTATTATTTATTGAATGGTTAGGCATATTGGACTTGTTCATTTTTCGTGAATGTGAACTTCATGGATGAAATGAAGAATAATAAAGAGAGAAAATAATATTTTTATGAAGTGGAAAAGAAATAGAAAGTCAGGTAGGAAAATTTACTACATCTTTACGTAATTTCGACGTCGACGGGTCGTAAGCATTACGTAATTGTGTGAGTTCCCGCTACGTCGGCAAACCGTAATAATTACTCGTGATTTGTTCCCCATTTTGGTCGTAAATACGTAGTAACGACGTAATTATAACGTAACCGCAACTAGTAAATATTACTTAATAGTCGACCCAATAGTCGTAATCACGTAATCGCGACTATAAATGCTAGTTGGGATATGTATAGGTTGATCTACTGGGTGTTTTTATTTTCAATCTACCATATCCCAACATATTGGATTTTTGTACGATGTTTGATTTTTGAAAAATGAAAATGACTAGCTCATTATCTGCGAGTAAAATAATATACTTAGTCCAAGACTATCATATTGTGTTTGATATATAAATTCATTTTCAACAACTGTTTCATCATAACTTATTTGACATTGAGAAAACTATGAACATTGACAATTCCTTTTATATTGATTGTTTGTCCACGACTGTTGTTCGTCCTCAAGCAAAACGATAGCCATTTTTCACACCAGTGAATAATAGCGGTAAATAACCATTATTCACTGGTCTTGAGTTCCTAGGGTACGCGATACATGCGCATAATTATCATCAAAACTATGGTTTCCATCCAATAAATGGTTGGAGTATGTTGAATTTGTTTTGTTTTTCAAAAAATTCTTCTAGTGTTCATTAATGCGCTGATTAAACTTACGACCTGTCTGACCGATATATACAAGATCCACAGTTGAGTTTGTATACCACTGATTTTTGGAATTAAGGAGTTTTGTCTGTATTATTTTTGATAAACCTTCCTACTTTTAAGTCCTGTTTATGAAGAAATGAAGCTAATTTTTCAGTTGATGATCCGAAATAGGTTGAAATTCTATAATTTTCATTATTATTTTTGATGGTAGGATAAACTTCTTGAATAGCTTCAGCTTCATTATGGAGTTCTTCAGAAAGAATACTCTCTATTGCGTTGTTGACTGCAATCTGTTATGATACTGAGTTCTTTATTGAAATTTACAACTGAAAGAAGGACATTTCTGCAAGTGAAGGGCTCAGTGGATTTCCCATAATCAAACCTTTTGACGCGGAATATATTTCGTTGTCAAATTGAAAGTAATTTTGTTTGAGACATATGGTCGAAGGTCTAGATTCTCTTGTTTGGTAATCGGATTAACATGGTTTTTATCTAATAACTCCTCAACTGAAATTATAGTATCTTCGGGCGGTATACTTGGAAATAGGTTTTATACATCAAATGAAATGAATTTTGTGCTGTCAGGTAGAATGAAATTTTGAAT